GTTACTTACGGGACAGCCGCTGCCCCATTCTTGGCGACCAGATGTTTGATGCAGCTCTGTGACGATGAAGGCGATTCATTTCCACTCGCTGCACGAATCATCCGCCTAGATTGTTACGTCGATGATGTCATCTCAGGTGCGAACACCGTAGAGGAAGCCATTGCAAGTCAAACCCAAATTCAACAGCTACTTGGACGAGGTGGATTTCCCGTCCACAAATGGAGCTCTAACACAGCAGAAGTACTGGAAAACGTTCCAGAAGCCGACCGTGAGAAACTAGTACGTCTGGACAACACCTCAATCGACGTTATGAAGACATTGGGATTGATTTGGAGCCCACAACGAGATGAATTTGTGTTCAGCACCAATCAAACCGATCGAGAAGCAAACCAACCCACGAAGCGATCGGTGCTATCCGAAATTGGAAGACTGTTCGATCCGCTGGGTCTTGTGACGCCGGTAACCGTTATCGCTAAAATGATCATGCAGAGGATTTGGAGATCCGGTCTTCCGTGGGACACCCCGTTGGAAGGAGAACTTTTACAATCCTGGACACAATTCCGTGAAGCCCTGCTTTTGGTAAGTGAAATCAAGATTCCTCGATGCACCATTTCTTCTGATGCTACCGCCATCGAAATCCATGGCTTCTCCGACGCCTCGGCGGTTGCTTACGGGGCGGTCATTTATATTCGCTGTATCCTACCGGATGGTAAGGCTCGACTCAACATGCTGTGCAGCAAGTCCAAGGTCACCCCGATGGCTGAGATGAGCATTCCACGCAAAGAATTACTCGGTGCCCGGCTACTTGCCCGGCTACTCGTGAAAGTACTGGACTCCCTCCAACTGGAGATATCGCAAGTTGTTCTCTGGTGTGACAGTCAGGTGGTGCTTGCCTGGTTACGGAAGCCGTTATCATCCCTTGAAGTGTTTGTGCGCAACCGCGTTGCAGAGATTTTGAAAAGCACCGAAGACTGCACGTGGAAGTACATCAAATCGAAACAAAACCCCGCCGATTTAGTGTCCAGAGGTCAATTTCCTTCCACACGCCCTGAGCACCAATGAACTTTGGTGGAATGGGCCAACATTTCTAAGCACCGACCAATACCAGTCAGAGATTCCTGATGACATCCCAGATGAAGATCTTCCGGAGTTGAAAAAGGTAACTGTAACCGCCATACCAGCCGTTAACGAGGAGAAGATGGACGTATTTACTAAGTTCAGCTCGTTCAGAAAGCTTCAACGGATTATCGCGTTGGTCCAGCGATTTATCCGTAACTGTCGGCTGAAATCTCGCAACGAACGAGTCCTCCAGCGTCATCCTACAATCCAAGAACTACGCTCGGCTTTACAGCTGATTGTAAGGGTCATTCAGCTTGAAGCTCTGGGTGATGAAATTTATCGTGTGACATCTAACGAACCGTGTAAGAAAATTGCTGCTCTGAATCCAATTTACAACGATGGAGTGCTGCGCGTTGGAGGAAGGCTTCAACATTCTCGGCTACCTTTCGATACCAAGCATCCACTATTACTTCCAAAACATCCAATCACCGATCAAATCATCCGTACATACCACGAAGAGAACCTGCACGTTGGTCCAACTGCCCTATTGGCCGCTCTCCGATCGCGTTTTTGGTTGCTGGATGGAAGATCGTCCGTCAGGAAGATTACCAGAAGCTGCATCACATGTTTCCGGGCGAAGCCTAAAGGTTCTAATCAACTGATGGGAAACCTGCCGTCCTGTCGAGTAACACGCGCTGAACCGTTTCTGAAAACTGGAATCGACTATGCCGGACCGGTATTTGTCAAGGAAGGTCGTCACAAGCCGAAAATAGTCAAGGCCTACATCGCGGTGTTTATCTGCATGACCACCAAAGCTGTTCACCTGGAATTAGTTTCCGACAACTCAACCGCCGCGTTCCTAGCTGCACTTCAGCGCTTCGTCAGCCGACGGGGCATTTGCCGAGAGCTCTTTTCGGATAATGGCTCCAACTTTAAGGGAGCCAAGTCTGAATTACACGAACTATATCTACTCTTCCGAAGCTGCGACGCCGTTGACAAGATAGCATCCTTCTGCCAGCCGAAAGAAATCTCCTGGAAATTCATTCCGCCGGAAGCTCCTAACTTTGGCGGCCTTTGGGAGAGTGCAGTGAAGACCGCTAAGTATCATCTGAAGAGGACTCTAAAAGACGCCAAATTGACATTCGAAGAGTATGCGACAGTACTTAGCCAGGTTGAGGCTATAATGAATTCTCGGCCTCTCTGTTCAACACCAGATCCAGACGACGAAATTTTGACACCAGGCCATTTTTTGATTGGTCGTCCTCTGATAGCCACACCGGAGCCTAGCTACAATGAAATACCAACCAATCGCTTGTCAAGGTGGCAGTATCTACAGTACCTCCGTGAGCAGTTCTGGAGACAATGGAGCCGGGACTACTTGCTGAACCTGCAACCGAGGGGAAAAAACCGCCAAAGACAGCCAAACATTCGCCCTGGTATGATCGTGCTACTCGAGCAGAAGGATATCCCACCGCAATGCTGGAAGATGGGAAAAGTCGTTCAGATTTACCCAGGTTCCGACAATTTGGTGCGGGCGGTAGACATCATCGTTGAAGGTTCCATCTACAGACGAGCGGTATCCAAACTATCCGTCCTTCCGATTGCTGACAACGACAACGACAACATCCATTCAGTGAATTCTTCCCAGCCTGGGGGGAATATGTTCGCGACCGAACCGTTCGCTCCGGAAAGACCACCAAAATGAACCAAATGACGCACACCAACAGAAGCAGCGGCAGCAGTAGAAGCGACGTGCATCAACAACAGCCAACTAGAAGAAGACAACATAGAATAGTGCGCAACGCCCCGCCCATTATACGTTGTCCCATCTGTGAATGGGCATAAAAGAAGCAGTCCATTTGTGAATGAGTTGAGTTGAATTTTGTATCGCGTAGTGGTAACATCGAAGAATAAAAGGTTAAAAATAGTAAGATTGCCCTCCTTTTCTTCTGCCACCTTCAAACCCACATTCGCTGGACTGGTCGAACATCTGCACCGATTCCGCTTGTTTTCGCTTTGACGGTAGAATTCTCCACCTTGGTGCCAAGGAGCGCGCCAACAAGCACTGTCTGTCGGAATCTTGGTGAGCACCACCACAGTTGGCGCATTTTAACGCCACGGCTTCATCCGCAGGGCAGTCGAAAGTGGCGTGGTCTTGAGCGCAATTGCCGCAGCGTGGCTTAATGTTACAGTTGCGGGTGCCGTGTCCAAAGTTCAGGTACCGTTGGCACTGAGTCACATCGCGATGGCCACCATGGTATGGCACCCAGTGGACGATGATGCAATTGATGGAGCGGATGGCTTTCAGCGCGTTGAGCGTCACCGTTCCCTTCTGGAAGTGTACCAGGAAAAGGTAATCCGGATACGCCTTCACATTCTCGTCTCTTCTTGTCATCCGATAGACGGCACTTGGGGCCAGCTTGTACCGGTCCCTGATTTCAGCTTCGATAAACTTCGGGTCGAAGTTTGGTAGGCCCCTGATGACGACCTTGAATGGTTTCTCACCGGGAATGTCGTGGGTGAAGAATTCCACCTTGGAAGTCCTCAGGTGGGCGACGACCAAGTCATACTCCGCTTTGGTACGGAGCACCACCTTGGTGCCGACTCTGCCCAACTTGTATTCGGCTTTAACGCCCAGCGTCGCTAGATCCGCGATGAGCTCATTAAGATGAGCATTTTTTACTACCAATGGAGGTAGCTTCACTTTTGCCGCACTCGGGCCGGCAGAATTTTCGTTGTCGATGGTGTCACCGAAATCACCGATGTCGCTGGCGTTCGTTGCTGTGACGTCATCACGTCCACTCGCACCATCGGACTGGCCTTGGTTTTTCTTCCTCTTCTTGGATCGCTTCACCGTGGCGGAGGTGGTATTCCCAACTCGTGCTACACTCACCACTGTTCTTTTCCGCTTTCTCACGGAGCCTGCTCCGGGAGCGCTGTCTTCCCATCACACGATGCGACCGACACTACTGACGACGCGAATAAACGTTTGGAATAACTATCGACAGAGCGAGCAAATACCGGACTGTACTGCTTGACGAACAAGCAGAGAATCCACAAAAGAAACGTTCTGTCCCGCCCCCATTCATAATAAAATAGCGGGAAATCCTGTCAGTTGCTGGGCTTAGAAAGCATGTTTTGTGCAGAATATGTAAAAAAGGAGGGACTTCGGACGTATTTTTTCTTCAAAATATGTATAAAAGGAGGGACGTCGGATGTTAACCCAAATGCATATATCATACATCATAGATAGAGATAGATAGATAGGTTCTACGTCATACTGCGGTCGTGTCTAGGACACAACCCTTTACCTTTTTTTTTATGAAACGCACGCTACTTTTCTCGTGGTTCTAGAAGAAAAAATCTCAACATAATGTTTTATTTCAAAGTTCGAGTGGTAGTAAACGTCATTTTAACTGCTCGAATGAAGTGGTTAATTAGAAAAAGGGCGTCATTTCTGAAGATTGCCAAGGGCGCTGTAAACACTACGCCGCATATTGGAACATATTGTTACTAAATTTAGATCAGCTGCGGTTGTCTAATAATCTGATGCAGGATGCAAATTTTTCTTTAGTTTGGCTATAGCAACCTTTTTCCTAATTGAAGCTTGGATAATAAATCTGGCCAGTGCAGCAAATCAACTATAACATCACGATATAATAATATCTCATACACGAAGCTCATGGTGATGTTGCAATTAAAAAAAAATATGCTAAAAACAGTTCATTCAAATGTATCGCTACACACATGCGAAAATATTCGAAACAGATCAAACATTCGAATGAATACATAGCTGAGCAACCAGATGTCTCTCCCATCGCCATTGACCGAACAACCCTGCGCAACATTTCTTTCGACTTTCACACTCCAAACCCATACATATCGTTCTCTCACTCACTGGGGGCTCTCCGAACGAACGGAGCATCTCCTCCTGTGTGTAGTTGTCTACGGGCATCTCACAGGCGGCCCTGGGTTGCATATCATCATCATCAACAGCAGCAGCAGCAGCAGCTCGGAGAGAGCATAATATCGGAGTGAAGAAGAGTGCGGAGTCGAAAAAATCTTTTGTGTGTTTCGCGTCGGCCATTAAAACACTCCTCTGGCTGCTCGTCGGGTCGAGCTCGAACTGTGTGTGTCCCCAGCGCCATTCAGCATCAACCAGCTCGGTTTTCGGCGATGAAGAAAATCAAATTCAATCGCTGAAAATCGCATTTTTATCGCGTTTTGTTACGGGAACCGTGTATACGCCAATGCAAAGTACTAGCTTAGTGTATTCGATAAGGTTGAAGTTCAACGCTGTATACGTAAAATTTTAGGATTTTAAGAGACGGTTCTCTACGGAGGAGAAGCAGAAACACCAGCAGCAGCAGGAGCTTTTTCGGCTCTGGATTCAAGAAGAAAAATCTTGGAAATCGAAGTGGTGCCAGTAGCAGCAATAAGCAGAAGAAGAAGAAGTGTTTGTTTCCGACGAGTATTCTAGTGATTGAGTGTGTTGTGTGTGACAACAGAAAAAAAAAGAGAAGTGTCAATATATTTTTGGATCCATTGATAATATTTAGAGGTGAAGGTGTTATACGAGTGTGTTTATGAACTGCTGAAAACGGATTCCTACCTTTTTTGCGTTTCGTCGGATCGGTTGGGAGTACATCAGATAGAAGGTAAACCTGCGTTCCTCCATTTCTTCTCGCCAGTCGGAAGATGGGGTCGGATTAGCATTGGTAAATCTGTAGCATTCTCGAGGCGTATGTAAATTCAACCCCGCAATGTGTTTGTGTTGGTGTGCGGCAGCAGTAAGAAAACGCTACAGAATTCATCGAACCGCTGCACTGCCGTCGGGCTGGATGCTACTAAGAAGGGATGGGAATCATAACGACGATAAACGGGAAGTAAGCAACAGCAGCAGCAGCTAACTTTAACCCATGAATGAAGAGCTCGCCGTCGTCGACCAGTTTAGAACCTGCTAGCGGCCCCGCGCTTGTTTGCTGGAAGAAGTTTACGAAGCACCTTCCCCCGCATTGTTGGTATTGGTAAATCGCGGATTAAGTGCACTGGCGTACACAGGTGCGGGAGCTTGCTCGGCTTCCTGTTTGATTTTAGATTACCTATACATCCAGGAGTCATAAGAATAGTGCAATCAAGATTGAAAACTAAAGTCACAACCGTCGGGCTCGTCAAAGGAACAATGAGTGGTTGATAACAACAGTAGATGTAATGTTTATTTGTTCTCATATGGAGAACTTTGCAAAGGTTGTAAATGGTCATCAGTAATTCAAACGAAGAACGAACACGACCAAATGTTAATCGTCACACCATAGTCTAAATTTTTATGTCTGTTTTTGGGAATTTTGTTTAAAAAATAGACACAACCTCGTAAATCTGAAAATAATGTCTTTCTTCGTCAACGAAGCTGATAAAATTTTAAGACAAAGTGCATCACAGATCTGTCGGATGTTATAAACATTTTTAAATTCATTTCAAACCCCTTGTTAAACCCAGGAGTGTGTGGAAATACAAATGTTGCTTTTTCAGAACTAATGCTGAATGTACTCAGAATAGAACTCAAATTCATCGCAGTTGATTTATTCATAATTTAAGTTGATTTTATTTCAAGTGATGAATTTTGTATGGCATTGTAGTTTAGTGAGTTTAGTAGAAAACTCACATCTTGTGTTAATGGACCTAAGATCGTTAAGGAAAATCTGTTAGCTTTTCATTATATCGTAGGACTTTCCGCAATTAAATGTAAATATTCATTTTAACAAGCAAACACAATTACTATAACTGGTGGCGATTTCCAACACAGTGTCTTAAAACAGATTTTATTAATTTCCAGGCTATGGATTTGAAATATAAAAGTGCGTTTATTTGTGTGCACTGCAACTTTTTTAAACAAGTAAAATTCACCGCCCAAACGTTCCTGAGCAGTTTATAGTATGTCTGGAGCTGTAAATGTATGAACTGTATGTAATCCATCGTTATAACCATGCATGCTAGTTGATTTTTTTTTTGAGCCCAAGCGCTGAGAAAACTAGAATTAAGATTTTTATAATACGTTTCGTATGAACGAGCATTTTGAACTGTGAAAATTATTTCATAAGACACGCATGTTTTCCATAGCAGGCTTATACAAATTGCACGTCTCAATTATGATTTTCATACGAAACGCGTTTGAAGTTCATACGAATCTACAATGAACGGTCCCTTTCATCCAATGAGAACCCCCCGTATTCAAGGTAATTTTGTGGTTTTGCTGCCCCCTCGGAAGAGATGAAATTCTGCGCTCATTTTTATCAAAACAATCAAACCAAAATCAGAGATGTCCCATTTTTTAATTACTCGATTAACAACTCATCGATTATTTTTTGTTCGCTGTGCTGCAATTTTTCCACCAATGAGAGTGCAGCACATGTTTGAAACGATCGGTGATGATCCTGTGGAGATATTAATGCTTATATCGGCATGATCTAACCGTTTATAAATAGTTTACTTTTCGGTTCGTTAATCGATTAAACGATTATTCGAATGAAAATCGGACATCACTAGATGAATGTGAAACGTCATTTCAAATAAAAGGCCGTTCATAAATAATGATACAATTTGAAAGGGACCGGGGCTAATCACAAATTACGTCTCCATGGTAACTGAAATAAACACGAGTGTTCACCGGTTGATCTTACTGCCACTACTGTGTCGTCGGTGGCAATAAAATAAAAAATATGATCAACCATATTCAAGAATTATTCAAAAACTTACAGCAAACAACAAGGTAAACAAGGGGCGATGGTACGAAAAGTACGTAATAAACCTTTTGGTTTGCAATTGCGGTACTTTCCTTGCAAACACCAAATCGATGCATGTGTCACCCAATGTAGTCGGCAGCTTAGGGTCTGATACGAGATCGAGTTGCAGAAAATTCTTCATAAATTGGACGAATCCGATATTCTCAGCTTTTGAGACGTCTACGTTGAAATCCCCCGTTATATAGTGGAACAGATTCCTGGTCATGAAGGTTTTGTCTTGCTTCATCGTAGTATTCGGTTACAGGTATACGCAGAATAGTGTATAATGTTGCAAGCTTCGACTTGGATATTTGCTGCGCAAATATCGCCATGCTTTTCAGACTATGAGGATGGGATCGTATTGTACACTCAATTTTTCAATTGTTGAAATCCCACGATCAATAAACTCAGCGAGAGCTATGACGCATAGCTTGGTCGCTCGGATGTATATGGTGACATCTGTGCAGTGGAGATCTCCGTTACCAGCGTTCGAGCGTTGTTAATTTGTATCTTTATTGAGCCAGGTATTAATCTGAATCATATTTAAACTATCTTCCTTACCTCAGTTTTATATTTTGATTTTCTGTTCTATTTACTATCGTCAACAAGCAGAAGCAATACTTTTGTGCGCGGAATCTGACGACATCTTACCTGGAGCCAATGCCCCCAATATTACCCACAATGCTGGGTAATTTTAACATGGACCTCATGAACGACGGGAACTTGAAGTTCGTCGAGTTCATAAAGAAATATTTGCACCTGGACATGGCTTCAAATTCTTCGGAGGCAACTAGTGTTGGTGGATCGTGCGTGGACTTAATTTTCGTTCGCAACGTTCGCCTTGACAGTAAAAAGTATAACTCTTACACTTTGCCAGAAAAATTTTCGTGACCCTGAAAAGGGCCGTTTGATTTGTCAGATGAGTTCTGATGAACGTAGCATGGCTTTGCTGTTGGCTCGCACTCCGGTACGGTGTAGATTGGCAACGATGATAAATGCCCTGAGTTAAAATCCTACAACTCGAAAAGTGACAAAATTGGGCGATGGTCATTAAGAAATCTTCTCAATGTAATTCTATGCATAACGTGTAAATATTTACATCATTGAAAATTCTCAGGTATTCATGACTTTTAGATCTTTGAAAACAACGCGAATGAAGAATCTGTCATGATTGCCTGAGTTTTGTCAAAAAAATGTAAATATTTTTGCTGTATGCAGCAAAGAATAGGCAGTCCTGCAGTTTTGTGTCAACCGATATGATCACCATAAATACTTCTATTTACGGCTACTGCTAGACACAGGTTGACCCGGTGGTTGGAAAGGCAGCGAGCTTCGCTACGAGAAATGGGAACTCAGAGAGTCGGCCCAGTTGCTTCAGGATTGGTTGCTACCATTTTGCTGGTTTCAGGAATTTGGTTCATGCCAAGTTTAGTAGAAAAGTAGAAATCCTCCTCCTGAAATCGCCCAGAACTTTCAAGTCCGATCTGCGCTTCCAGAGCTCGGCCGTTGCAGGAATCCAGCAAGGCCATCTGGTCGGTCTGTTCGAAGACACCAACCTGTGCGCCATGCACGTCAAGCGTGTCACAATTATGCTAAAGGACATTCAGCTGGCTCATCGTATTTGTGGTGAGCGCTCTTAATTTCTCCGTCGAAGTCGAACAAAACTGGCCCTTTTCAGAGCCATTAAAAGATTCCACAAGAGAGTTGGGAAGGAAATTTCTGCTGCTTTCACTGATCGCATCACAGTGAATCCTGATCTTATAATTGCAACCAGCAAGTGTGACGACGACTGTAAGGGGCTTAGAAACAGAAGGGTGAAAGCCAATTCTCTATCGATTACCTCTTTTGTGATTCCCATGGCTTTAATTAGCTAGGGGAATTTACGTATTCTCGTCAATCTAAGCAGCGTCCGCACTTCTATTAGCGTTTTGTCAGCGTTACGCACATATATCACGTGTCTGTTTGTTAACATTCATCTGCTGCTTGCTTCTCTATCCATTCCAATCGACAGAATTTTTCAAACCGGTTTGAAAGCGATTTTACAACGCTCCAAACTTCTCAGGTGAGTGTGACTATTGTCGGCAGCCTCTTTTTCTTCGGCAACCTTCCCATTAGAACTGCGTGTGAACCAGCTGTTCTATTATCGGCAACTCGAAATCAGCCCCATTTTGTAGTGCGTATACTTCATTTGAAGAAAAATCTGGCATAATAGGATTGCTCGGTCGTACAAATATAAACAGATTGAAGCTGAAAGACTAAAGAATCGTTTGAATACATTCAGGGAAGTGTGTTGATGGGAAAACATAGTGAAATTAACGCTTAAATTTTGGTTGCCGAAAACAGTCAATGGGTGCCGAAGCCAACATTTACCCTATTTCGCACTATTTCTGCTATTCTCTTCTATCTAGACCAACAATTGAAATAGGCGGAACAACCAAACGTAAACATTGGCTTAAACGCAAATTCCTCGATAATCAAAACGCATCGAAGCAATCTAACACCACCATCTGATAGAGCAAACTTCCTTTATTGCATGGCATGGTTAGTTTGCGTGGGAGTGGTTTGATTATCGAGGAACTAATGAATGAATCATGAATGAATGATCAGAACTAATCAACTTGCACAGTGCGGTTGTTACTAGAGACCGAAAACTCCTCAACATCTCGGCGGCTGTCTCGGGAAGGATAGTCGTGTTAGTGAGATAGGTTAGTTTTAGATCAGGATTCAAGTGGTAAGTGATGCGATCGGTTAAAGCAGAATTTGTTTTTATTCAAATCTAGTGGGGATAGGATATGGCAAAGTGAAAAATTGCAAGGATGGGGACGTTCCTGGGATTGAACCCGACCTTCTGCTCAGTAAGCAGAAACAGTAACCACTGA